TTATTTCTCCTTCATTTGTGAAGCTTAGTTGGGATGTGAAATTCTGGGTTGAAAATTCTTTTCTTTAAGAATGTTGAATGTTGGCCCCCACTCTCTTCTGGCTTGTAGGGTTTCTGCAGAGAGATCTGCTGTTAGTCTGATGGGCTTCCCTTTGTGGGTACCCCGACCTTTCTCTCTGGCTGTCCTCAACATTTTTTGCTTCATTTCAACCTTGGTGAATTTGACAGTTATGTGTCTTGGGGTTGCTCTTCACAAGGAGTATATTTGTGCTGTTCTCTGTATTTCCTGAATTTGAATGTTGGCCTGACTTACTGGGTTGGGGAAGTTCTCCTGGATAATATCCTGAAGAGTGTTTTCCTATTTGGTTCCATTCTCCCTGTTCACTTTCAGGTACACTAATCTAACGTAGGCTTGGTCTTTCCACATAGTCCAATATTTCTTGAAGGCTTTGTTCATTCCTTTTCATTCTTTTTTCATTAAGTTGATCTTCGATCTCTGATATCCTTTCTTCTGCTTGTTCAATTTGGCTATTGATACTTGTGTATGCTTCACAAAGTTTTTGTGCTGTGTTTTTCAGCTCCGTCAGGTCATTCATGTTCTTCTTTAAACTGGTTATTCTAGTTAGCAATTTCTCTAACCTTTTTTCAAGGTTCTTAGCTTTTTTGCACTGGGTTAGAATATGTTCTTTTAGCTCAGAGAAGTTTGTTATTACCCACCTTCTGAAGCCTACTTCTGTCAGTTTGTCAAACTTATTCTCCGTCCAGTTTTGTTCCCTTGGTGCCGAGGAGTTGTGATCCTTTGGAGGCGAAGAGGCATTCTGGTTTTAGGAATTTTCAGCCTTTTTGCACTGGTTTCTCACCATCTTTGTGGATTTATCTACCTTTGGTCTTTGGTTTGTTAGTTTTCCTTCTAATAGGCCCCTCTGCTACAGGTCTGCTGGAGTTTGCTGGAGGTCCACTCCAGACCGTGTTTGCCTGGGTATCACCAGCAGAGGCTGCAGAACAGCAAAGATTACTGCCTGTTCTTTCTTCTGGAAGCTTCGTTCCAGAGGGGCACCTTCCAGGATACACGGGGGTCAGGGACCCACTTGAGGAGGCAGTCTGATCGTTAGCAGAGCTCAAACACTGTGCTGGGAGATCCGCTGCTCTCTTCAGAGCCGCCAGGCAGGGATGTTTATGTCTGCTGAAGCTGCGCCCACAGCCGCCCCTTCCGCCAGGTGCTCTGTCCCAGGGACATGAGGGTTTTATCTATAAGTCCCTGACTGGGGCTGCTGCCTTTCTCTCAGAGATGCCCTGCCCAGAGAGGAGAAATATGGCAGTCTGGCCACAGTGGCCTTGCTGAGCTGCAGTGGGCTCTGCCTAGTTTGAACTTCCTGGCCATTTTGTTTACACTGTGTGGGTAAAACTGCCTACTCAGCCTCAGCAATGGCGGATGCCCCTGCCACCACCAAACTCGAGCATCCCAAGTCGATCTCAGACTGCTGCTGTGCTGGCAATGATAATTTCAAGCCAGTGGTTCTTAGTTTGCTGTACTCCATGGGGGTGGGACCCACCGAGCCAGACCACTTGTCTCCCTGGCATCAGCCCCTTTTCCAGGGGAGCAAATGGTTCTGTCTCGCTGGCATTGCAGGCACCACTGGGGTGTGGGAAAAAAAAAACCAAACTCTTGCAGTTAGTTCAGTGTCTGCCCAAGCAGCCGCCCAGTTTTATGCTTGAAACCCAGGGCCCTGGTGGGGTAGGCACCAGAGGGAATCTCCTGGTCTGCAGGTTGTGAAGACCATGGGAAAAGCACAGTATCTGGGCCGGAGTGCATGGTTCCTCAGGCTCAGTCCCTCATGGCTTCCCTTGGGAAGGGGAGAAAATTCCCCAAGCCGTTGTGCTGCCCAGGTGAGGTCGTGCCCCACCCTTCTTTGGCTCACCTTCCGTGGGCTGCACCCACTGTCCAACCAGCCTCTATGAGATGAACTGGGTACCTCAGTTGGAAATGCAGAAATCACCTGCCTTCTGCATCGATCTCGCTGGGCGCTGCAGACCGCAGCTGTTCCTATTCAGCCATCTTGCCAGAAATCTTGTTTTTAAATCCTGTTTTTGTTTCTTCCACTCACTACTTCATTTATTTCAAGTTGTTATTTCCAGATATGCCCATTTATGACTTTTAATTGGACCCCTTCTTTATTTTTTTGCATTCTTTTTATAGGGCTTTTAGGCCTAGTATTATTTCTCTGTCCTCAGTGGATTAATATCATTACCAAATTATGTGGTATACTTACTGTTCCTGCTCTCTAGTTGTTCCTGCTCTCTAGTAATACCAAGAAAAATATTAAGTAGCTATTACATACCCACTATGTGCCAGGCCCTGTTGTCAGAACTTTACAGTATTAAGTAATTTAATATTCAAAAGAACATTTGGGCGTTGGTGTGATTACTGCCTACAACCTGTGAACAAGTAGAGTCTTAATGAGACAACATTCTAAGTAGAACACACACAGGCATGCGTTAGAATCATAGAAATTGCTCACAAAATATTTGAACTTAATTCTGTGTTTCCTATGTATTCTCTTCATCATAACCATCATCATGAGAACAGGGGTGGTAGGCTTCTTCTGTAAAGAGCCAGATAATAAATATTTTAGGATTTGTGGGCCATATATAGTCTCTCTCACATATCCTTATTTTTTTCACAACTATTTAGAAATGTAATTTTTAAAAAATCTCGAACTCTCAGTCTGAAAACAGGCTAAAGACTAAATGTGGTCTGAGGGCTATGATTTGTTGACCCCCATACACTAGCCTCCTAACCACTAAACTATCCTTTCTAGAGTGAAATGACTTTGTAGCTCTGTTACATTCCTTATTTTCCATTTCTTAAATTTCCTTTATTGGCATCATTTTTAAACGCAATCTAGATTCACCTGGATAGGCAACCCAAACAAAACTTGTCTGAACAACAAGAATGTGCCAATTTGCAATGATCCTAATCTGCTGACTCTCTTGGATGACCAGGGACAATTTCCACTTGCCTTCTTGCTGTCTTGCTCTCAGCTCATGCAGCCCCATTGCTGTGACCGAGCCCCAGACTGTGGCAGGGCTCGCAGAATTCATGCACAGGTCTCTCACCCACATGTTACCTCCCATTGAAGCCCTTGTCACCTGTGATATTGTTCTTTGGAAGTTCTTCCCAATCTTACTAGGGCTAATGGCTTAGGGTTCCCCTTACCTAAAGCTCTCCTGTTTTCTGATTTGTACTGGGTAATGGTTGACATGCTAGTGGAAGGGATGGTTAGAAAGGAAGCTGGGAGGTTGGATATCAGATAGGCCTTAACAGGATTCCTATGTTGTTGGTTGTTGGGGGAGGTAACATAACCAGCTTAAAAAACACACAAAAAAATGGTCTCCCTCCTTGTCATTTGTATTCCATGGGATGGCCATGTATCACAGTTCTGGTCAATGAGCTATAACAACAGAAATTGTTGGGAGATTCTTCTGAAGGTGGTGGCAGATTTAGCTAGCATCCCCTACTTTTCCATTGCCCTTACTCCTACATGCCTGAAAAGTAGGTATAATAGCTAAAGGTAAAGCTGTCCTCTTGCATCTGACTATGACAAAAATCCAGAAGAATCACAGAAACTCATGCCTGGTAACAGCCCCATACTGCCTAAATCTGGAGAGTTAAATGAGGCGGGGAACAAACACGTGTCTTGTTTAAACCACCATGATGTGGATTTTTATTACTGTGCGTAATTGAATGCAGGTCCTACCTGATACATTGCCCTTTTCCTGATTCATTCCTTTATCATTTCCTTTTAGCAACAAGCATTTATTGTACCCCTACTATGTACATGCCACAAAAAAGGAAACATGTCCTCATCGTTGAGGATTTTGCTACTCTCAGTTATGGAGCTGATAGATCTCTAGCGCACATTGTTCATTATACACAGTGTCAACCACAATAGCCATTAAGGTCCCACAGTGCCTTTTTCCATCACTTCTTGATTATTGACAAATTGGGAGGCACTGGGGACTATGCCTGCTCTTTACCTGAGCTGCAAAGAGTGAAGTTAATCATACCTTCCAGCAGGTTCCTGACAGATTCATCTCTTAATATTCCCTTCTGTATATCACTAATCTTATATTCCATCACCATAAGTATATGTAAGTATTTGCTTAGTATATGTCTTAAATATACATGCTATTCTTTTTTGCTTATGAAATATAGCTTACTTCTACCTCTCAATAACGGAATTGAGAACTGTTAAAATAGTTGAATTATTTAATGTGTCTGCTCTCTACTTCCTAAAATTGCCTCTGAACATCTGTCCCTTTCTTTGAAAAGATGAGCCCGATCATGTGCATGACTTCATATTTTCAAATATGAGCTTACCTGTTTTTTGTCAAGTGATAATTTTGAAAGGTCTTCATGACTTCCTAAAATTCCAAGTTTCTTTTCTTCATTTATCTTTTAAAGATAAAGATAGATAGTAAAATGAGTATAACTGCATAACCAATTTCACTCTTCATTCTGTATTTTAAAAGCCATTTCGTCTAATTCCCCACAAGTTTTAATGAGAGAAACATATTGTTACGGGGTTCTTCCCTTTGCAAGTGCTTGGACATTTCCTTTGGACTTTGAATTCCCTCAAGTTGCAGTTCTAACCAGACCTGTAAACCACTCATTTAATTACATAAAAAAAAAGGAAAGGAAATTTTTGCCACTCAATCCACTGAATTCTACAAGTTATACTTCTGGAAAAATGTCATAGATGGTATTTTTCCCAAAAATTACTACACAAATTAATCATAACTACATTTAAAGAAAGCTTTAAAATTCTCAAAGTACTTTTATATACTTATTTGAGTTGATCTTCAGGATGTAGATATAATTTTTTTCACATATTACAGTTGAGGAAACTAGAACTCAGAGAATGTGTTACATACTTGAGAACCCTAAATAGTAAATGGTAAACAGTGCAGGAATTACAACATTTTCTTTTTATTTAATGATAGAATCTTATTGCAAGGAAACTTATAATCATTTGGTCCAATTGCCCACGCAGTGTAAAAAGGAAAAATCTTCAATAAATTCCCACTGTCAGCCATCTGGCATTTATTGACTGCTTACAATGGTGGGAAGCTCACTACTTTGAAAGGCAGCCCACTCTTCTGTTGGGCAGATTTTCTTGTTAAAAGTTTGTTCTTATATCGAATTAAAATTTAACTATTTGAGGCCGGGCACAGTGGCTCACGCCTGTAATCCCAGCACTTTGGGAGGCTGAGGCGGGCGGATCATGAGGTCAAGAGATAAGAGACCATCTTGGCTAACACGGTGAAACCCCGTCTCTACTAAAAAATACAAAAAATTAACCAGGTGTGGTGGCAGGCACCTGTAGTCCCAGCTGCTGGGGAGGCTGAGGCAGGAGAATGGCGTGAACCATGACAGAGCAAGACTCCGTCTCAAAAAAAAAATTAACTATTTAAATTTTTTGCCCGTTGCTTTTCTTCCCATTTTTGAAAAACAAGTATACTTCCTAAAGATGGAAATTACAAAGATATTTTTAGTCAATTTCAATCTTCCTTTTTCAGAAGAAACAGCCAGCTCCTTCAGTTCTCCCTCATATGACACCATATCCCTATGTGTCCCATTCTGGTCTTGCTCCTCTGGATGCACCTGGTATCTCAGTGTTCCTTCTGAGTATAGTGGTCTGTGCTCAGCAGAGATCTTTGCACAGCATAACCCCTCACCTTCCACCTCCAGTTAGACAAAATTCCACATGTTCTCTAAACATATCTGAACATGCTGTGATCGCCCTACTGCCTCATCTAAGCACTAAATCTTTTTATTCTTTTTAAAGATTGCATCGCCTTGTGGGATTATTGTTTTCAATCAATATCCTTAGCTCTTTCTTTCTTGAACTACTTATTGCCAAGTCTGGTCCCCTAAATTACATGTGAGCAACTGATTTCTGAACTTTTCAACATAGAAGTTATCTAAGAGTTAATCAAGCTGCCCCTCAGTCATAACGAGCTGCTGCTGATTTACCCGGCTCTATAAATTGAAGGAGAAGTGAGGGACATGTAGCCACAACAGCAAAAAAGTAGCCCAGAATAGCTCTTCTTTCAGTACTCGCTCCAGATAACATATTATTTTAGTTATATTTCATGAATTTTTCTTACATTCTTTTAAGTAGGAAATGTCCAGTGTGCTCATGTTGAACAGACACAAGCCAAAGGACTGTGCTGTGTGAAGTGACTGCATGTGGGAATGAATGGACAAGTCATCAGGAACCGATTCTCTTTAAAGGGATGTGGCACATGTAACAAACCTGCACGTTGTGCACATGTACCCTAGAACATAAAGTATAATAATAGTAAAAAAAAAGGGATGTGGCACAATGGTTACAGTAGTCTCAGCATTAAAGAATACAATTATACATTATCAAGCTAAGTTACCTTGTTCATCTCTGCATCTTCCTGGAAACCTTTTTTATGACCCTGGAACAGCTCAGAAATCCATTTTTTAAGCTTCAGTAAGAGATAAAACAGGGACTTTGGACTTGGCACCAGATTGAAAGGTACGGGAAGTGTTCTCCCCTCCTCAAAGTAGGAGAACCAGAGTTTGGCTCTTGCAAATTTCCACTCCACATCGGCGTCATCCTATACAAATACACATGACAGGTCAGCAAGGAAATGCATAAACAGAATTACTGGGATGCTTTTACCATTGTGTGGCTAGATGGAGGACAATGCCTATAAACACTCCCAGACCCCAATGATCATTCCAAGATTTTTTCAAAACGTTAACATTCTATTCACACACTCTTTCTTAAATTTGTCTAAAATTTTGACAGTTGTACAAGACTGTGAATCTCCAAGTTCCCATGTGTTTATAAATACCTGATAGATATAAATGTATTTTCCTACGTTCTGAAAAACGCTATGAAAAATTATTCTTTTATCCCACAATATACCACTCATTTATTTGGGACACAGAGAAAGATTTCTGGAATAAAAATTTACACTATTAATCTCAACTTGAGAAAAGGTCAATTTTGAATATCACTCAAAAAAGACTTGGAGAATAATAGTATTCATAAGTAGTAATTTTTTGAATAAAATATAAATTCATGCTGATATAGTACTTCTAAAGTTTTTTTATTAAATCGATATCAAATCAGCATTTCTGCTTCTTATGCCTTACTGCCCCATGACACCTTATTGATGTTGCATGTGGAAGCAAAGAGTTAAAATTTTCCAGATTACTGGTCAAACGAGTGTATAAAACAGGGAATGAACAAAGGGGGAAGAGCAATCCATACTTTCATCCTCATTGCTGAGTTAGTCCTTGGAATAATTAAAACATGTAGGCACAAATGATAAAAATGTATTGAAGATTATACCTCAATTTCCTGGAATGAACTGTTGATCATGGCAATTAACATATTTAGCAAAACAATGACCATTGTAACATTATAGACTCCATAAAGAACGTAACCAATGTTTTCAATGAATTTGTGGTTATAGTTGATGACCACTGATTTCACTTCAGAAAGTCCAAATATAGCCCAGAACAGTGTCTTAAAACTCTCTTCAACTCTGGGGAAAAATAAAAGAAGAAAAGAAATAAAGTGTATAAGTAAATAACAATATTACCATAATAAAAGTGAGTTGATTTAGTGTCTTTGCAAATTACTATTTATTAAAAAAAAAAAATCTTCACTTCTCGGAAGCTCGCTTTTCTTTTCTGTAAAATGGTTACAATAGGATTGCTACAAGGATGGGGTAATATTGTGCATATGAAGTACATAATCATAACTCAATAAACACATAAAAAGCACTCAATAAATGTTATTAACATAATTTCTAACCACAGATATGAACACTTAAATAATCCATAGCTTTGGCAATGGAATTGTTAAATGTACTACTTAAAAATAACATAATTTGTTAGAATCCTTTTAGTTTTCCTGCTGATCTATACTTCTACTCATATCCAATAGATAGATAATAATCATATACATCTTAATGGAAAATACAACAATATAAACAGACAATGTTACCAAAATCACTGACATGTCTTAGGTAGGAATTTCAATGCTGTAGGCCTAATTATTGACCAAAGCTAAGGCAATTTGCTTAACTTAGGTGGTTACATTTCCCTGGCAAACTGTATTTCAGAGAAATATGGAAAACAGTAGGCTTATGTTTCCAGTAGTTGCTTCTCATTGTAACACTGCAGACCTAATATTTAAATAATCTATTCCAAACACTCTTTATTTAAAAAAAAAAACACGTGTCCATGGTGAACATAAGTCAAAACTCTTGTCACTATTGATAAGTCAGATCCACTCAGTAATAGGATCTGAGCAATTCAATTAGGAAAGCAGCTGTTTTCATAGTTAGTGTCCCCAGGAGTCTCCTGTAAGCAGGAGGGTAAGGGAGTTCAGAGCAACAGATCCTAGAGTCAGCAAGCAAGGGTTACACCCTGGCTGTTCCACATACAGCTATGGAATATTCAGCAAATTACTTAATTTTTGCGAATTTCAGTTTCCTCTTGGTGAAATAGAGATAATAAAGGGAGGCATGCAAGGTATTTACGTGGCTCTAAAAATGTTAGTTATTATTTAATATTAGAAAGGTTCCTACATTTTAGAGTCCCTCCAACTCATTTTTAAAATCCCCTCATTTTGCAAAAGAGGAACTAGAGATGAAGTCTTTACCAAAACATTATTTATCCCATGGACTTACATAAACACTGTTAAACTAATATTTATTTAATTTGCAATAACTATCATCAAAACATCTGAGATCACATACGTTGTGAAGGCTTCATTTTGTTTTGCACCAATATAGTAGGAGTAGAGGTTGAACATTCCAATCATAAAGGCCACAAACACCATAATGAATATGACCATGAACTTGAAGATGTCTTTGACTGTTCTTCCAAGTGATATCTGCAGAGGTCCAAAGCTTTCATTTGCTGGCAAAATATAAGCTATCCTAGAGAAACTTAAAACTACAGCAATTGCATAAAGACCTTCAGATATTATTTGAGGATCAGAGGGGTCCCACTTGATCCTGGCTAGGAAAAAGCAAAGATAAAGAGTTGTGTGAGTTTCTTCAAATTGTTTATTTAGGTAACTTCTTTTTCTGCAAAAGAAATATAGTTACGTTAGAATCCAGTTTTTGAATGGAAGTCTCCTATCTTAAAGGGCTTCTTAAGTGTCTGCTATAGTTGAGCTTCTTAGTTTATTGAGAACATGACTCTCCTGGTTTGCTAGCAATTTCCCATAAGGGGATAGCATAATAGTTAAGAGTTCAGACTATAGACTCAGTATCTGTAAAAGTTCATGTAAATATATGTACGCACATACACGTATATCAAAGAACTTACAAAACTACTTCTCTTAGTTTTGTTTCTCCATTTTTGAAAATGAGATAATGTCCCCTCTAACTCTCTTATCTTTGTGAGAATTCAGTAAGTCAACATATGTTCCGTGTTTAGCAAGTGCCTGGCACTTAATAAATGGTAGTGTTTATTATTCAGTCTTAAACTATAATTACACTATAATTTTAGGCTCGTAGCATGTTTGTAGTCATTTAAATTTATTAGGAGTAACTTATTGGACACTCAAGTCTATTTTTAACTTAAAATGTAGCAATTATTCACTTATGATTTTTTCTGGCATTATTACATCAGGTCATCAAAAATGCAATTAAGAAACCATTATGAAGAAAAATACAAAACAGTGTGTAAGAAAGGGGAAAAACATAATTACAAATTTGAATTTGCTTATTTGTTGAGAAGTGGAATTAGGAGAGGATAACAAGAAACTAATAAAAGCAGTTTCCTTTTTTATAGTGTTTTGAATATAAGTATTATCTACAAATAGCTTTGAATTTTTTTAATTAAGTGCATTTTTAAAAATCTTTCATTAAAATAAACATTAATAATAATGGAGCCCTTATGTGATATTGCCAATAAACTCACAAGTGAATGTTAACTACTTTCTTATCAGAGGGTTTGAAATGAGTATTCAAAGGGAATATATTTTCCCCATCCAGGTTTCTACGAGGTGGTAGTCTCCTTAAGTAAATAACTGAACCAGTTTCCATCCCTTAGTCAGTTTCTTGCTGGAACGACTTATCTGATTGCTCAATTGGGATGAATAACTGGGCATAGCTGGCTCAGCATTGCCTTCTCTGTCCTGGGAATTCTCCTCTGGTCCTCCATGGAGCTGTCATCCTCTTTTAGTGGGGAGGACTGCCCTGGTCCATTGCTATCTAGAAATTGGAGGATATGTCTGCCTAATTCTGGGGTTCAGTATTACTGAACCCATTAGCTAATAGACTCAGACCTATGTCATCCACCCCGGATTTTATCAGTGTTAGAGGTGATGATCTGGCCTCCATACTAATGTCTTGTTTTATTTCTCAACTAATTCTAAGACTGGTTGGGAAGCAGTGGTGTTACTGACTGGGGAACCTCTCAGATCCCAACAATTCCTTGGTTTTCAAATACTTTTTATATATCTTAAATGCAAATGGCACTCAAATGTGAACTTTATTATATGTATTTATGGGGCACAACTTGATGTTTTCATATGTGTCCGTCTACACTGTGCAAAGATTAAATGAAGCTAATTAACATATTCATCACCTCGCATACATTTTTGTGGTAAGAACATTTAAAATTTACTCTCTTAGGAATTTTCAAGTATACAGTACATGATGATTAACTCTAGCCACCATACTGTATATCTCCAGAACTTATTCACCCTAACCGTGTACCCTTTGTAAACTTTGTACCTTTGACCAACATCTCCCCATTTTGTGCCCCTTAACCCAGCCCCTGACAACCACCATTACCTTCTATCTCTTTGAGTTTGACTTTTTTTAGATTCTACAAATAAGTAAGATCATATACCATTTGTCTTTCTGTGCCTGCCTTATTTCACTCAGCATAATGTCTTCCAAATTCATTCATGTTGTTACAAATAACAGGATTTTCTTCTTTTAAAAGGTAGAATAGTATTCCATTGCACATATATACACACACACACACACACATATGTGTGTATATCCGTATACATATATATACACATATGTATATATCCATATACATATATACACACGTATATATCCATATACATATATACACACATATATATGTATACAGAGAGAGAGATACAGATAGCTAGCTAGCTAGATCAAATGTGAACTATTTTTAATTAAAAAAAAAAAGAGGGAAAAATAAATCCAGGACATAAGACATGTATTCTCAATGAAGTTTGGTAACTAGCCAATTGATCCAAGAGATAAAGGGAGATGGGTCTTGTGATTAAGAGAGTTTTCCATGGAGTAGAAAAATCAAAGGAAGAAGCGGAAAGCATGCTTCCTCACATATAGATGCTCATTCTTCAGATACAGATGTTGGAAACGAACAATTTTATGAGAATTGGGCAGTAACCAAACTACTACTGACATCTGTTTTACAAGAAAATTCTACATTTTTAATTATATTGACTCTACTGTAAACTCACCCAAATTGTAGTATTTCACGTTGTCTCCCAATGTTACTTTCGTCAAGTCCTTCAAAGTGTCATTTGCATCAATGATGCTCTGGGCTTTGGAAGCATGCCAAAATGCCATGAATCTCGCAATGAATGATGCTGCAAAAATTGCTAACATACCAAAATCAAGCATATTCCACAACTCAAACAAATATTCCTTGGGGCCTTGAGTCCAAATTTCTTTACATTCAGCCCATATCATGCCTGTATCAGAAAGGGGTTAAAATATCAATTCAATTGTATTCAGTCTTAGCTGTTCTTTAAAACAAAATATGTTTGAAAGGTCTCAGCCTGACATTACAAAACCCTTCAAAATTTGGCCCCAGCCTGCCGTCCCACCATAATTACCATATCCTCACAAATATCATAGTCCAGAAATATCAGTGCATACCTGAAAGCAATTTGACAAAGTTCATTGAACACCTTAAAATAACAAATGTCCTGCTGATCAATTAATTCCACACATAAAAATATATTTAAAAGATGATTATTGTAGGATACTTTATAATAACCCAAACACACCCACACACTCAAAATAGAAGTAAAATGGAAGTGGGACTTCCACAGATGGAGTATTATGAAGCCATTTAATGTGATATTTTATTAATTACCATGGGACAGTGACCATGAGAATGTGCCTCAGTGACATTCAACTATAGGAATTTGATTGGTCACAGGCCTCACCTACTGTCTTCTGAAAACCACTGCCATTTTTGTCCAAGGCCATGTCTCCCCCAGGCTGCTCTCATCCAATTACTGAGGGTACCTCTTCTTGGGAGACATGGGACTCTTCTGATGGCTGACTTTGGCTCAAGGATTCATGACAGCCTTGCCAAGCTTTCCTTAGACTGTATAAAGATCTAGGATGCTTCTACTCAACCTTCCTGCCTTCTCTCTGTCCCTTGGGGTTTGACTTATAGCCCTGCCTGAGAGCCTTTGAGACCTTTCTCAGCTTTCTCACCATTTCCTCTCACAAGAAATGTTCCTTAATAAAATTTCCATTTCCCTTAATAAACCTGTTGAACATTTCATCTTTGTGCCTGCTTCTTGGAGGACCTGGACTAACATACATTGCAAAAACCTTTATATTGTAATGCTAAGTAAAAATGTTTCAAATGTTATATTACGATGTATGGTTTGTATTTAAAACCAGCACAGTGAAAGCCTAGATGGGATGACACAAACTTATTAATAGTAGTTGCCTTTTTCTGGTGGAATTATTAATAGTACTGCCTATTTCTTCAAAATTTTAGTGTAGTATTTAGGAACACTGGATTTGAGGAATTTAGGTACACAGGCTACCATGGATTTGAGAATTTGTTCTTCCATTTGTCAGTTATGAAGTCTTTGATAAGGTATTTAAACTATCTAAAACTCAGGTTGTAAAATGGAAATGATATTGGTTCATTCCCGCTTCACTGGATTGTTATGAGCCTTAAACAAAATAGTTCATGTGAAATACACAGCTCAGTGTCTAGCACTTGGAAAAAATTATGACTAACGTTTACTGAGTGCTTACTATTTAAAATTTTCCATGATTGGCACATGTATGTTTTTCTTAATTTGAAGAATCCCACTTTTTTAATTAAAAAGAAGTTGCTTTATCCCTATTAAGATACTCTACTCTGACATCCTGTCTCCTTCTGGAGCCATCTGAGGAATACAACTCAAACTCCAACAATGAATCAAAACTTGTCACCATCAAGAAGTCCTTCACAGCCTCGAGTTGAAATTAACCTTTTACTCTCAGCAACCACCTGCCTCAAATACTCACACTGGTCCTAAATGTCAATCACAGAACCTGCTATACGAATAGCTGCAGAGCCCTGTGGGGATTAAGGAAACACCCCATCTCTAATCTCCAAGAGCACATCATGTGCCTTTTCTTAAAGCCAGTATTCAATGCAACATAGAAGATACGGATTTAAGAGAAGACTTCATTACTTATTTTGAGTTATTTCAAGTTAAGAGAGGACTAGGATTGATTTAATATAAAATCTGGGGGATCAAATTTGTGACAGGAAATACGGCAGTTTTTTTCCCCCACTGTGGTCACCGGGTTCCTGTCAGCCTCACTAGGAGATGAGGATGGTTCAGAGTAACAAGCATGGGGACTAAAGGGACATTTGAACTTATGCAGCCTAGTTTTCAAAACTTCCCTTCCTCTTGTTCCTCCCACTTCTCCATCTTCTTTTCTCTTTCTCTAAGAAGTAGAATTCATGGTACAAATGATGTCTTCCTGAAGCTTAAAAACTAAAACAAGTAAGTGAGCTATTCTGCTCAAAGGAAAAGTTCCTGTCTCATTTGTCCTGAGGACCCCTGAGAGCTGCCAAAGAGAGTTTGAAATCCCGCATCAAGTCCAAGCTCACGGCAAGCAGGAGACTTCACAGGGATCAAGCCTCTGCTCATACAGATCTTGCGACAAGGTGCTTCGCTAATTCTGAAGGCTGCTCATCCCACTGTTGAATTTTCAGAATATTCCTTCAACGTGGATGCAGTGGTTCTATTTTTGCCCTCTAGAGAGGTAGCAAATGAGTCAGCTCCCTCTGCCTTCAAATTTATTTTTACAAAAAAACAACCAAAAAACCTACCTGTGTGCTCATTAAATCTGTTTTTCTCTAGCAGAGGCAGGTTAAACATGAAACTGAAGCTTCAAGATGTCTTTACTTGCCCAGGCTTCTTCTAAGTCCTCCCTTTGTCTTCTTTTTCTCTAAACGGGGCCCTCTGAATAAACAAGCCTCAGATTCCACTGGGTCTTACCCCATGCCTCACCCTCTAGGGTAAGCTTCCCCAGCACCTCAAGTGCTGTTCTGAGAACGACTCACTCTCCAAACTGCTGTTGTGCTTGAAATGCTCCTTAGTTTGCCAACTGGCTGCACGGGGCACCCGGGGCCTGCAGATGTGGTCTGGCCATTGGGTAATTACTGCCCTCAACTGCCATCCTCTCCTTCTGTTGAAGAGTCAGCCCAGGACTGCATCTGCTTTCTCAGCAGCTCAGACTGACCATTAAGTGACAAGTGCTCCTAAGGCCCTTTTCACAAGTGTCTTCAAGCATGTCCGCCTCCCTGTGTTGCTGCTATCCGTCCTCTCATTGATTTGAGCTCACTGTTCTGCCTTGTCAACATCTCCTGACACATCAGTTTTGTCATTTAGCCTTTCAACTTTCTGTCAACTAAACATTAGATAAATCTGCTTTGTGACTAACAGTGTTGTCCTCTCCCTCAAGCCCACATAACACACCCAACACCTCATCTAAGTAGGCCACTTCTTATTAACATTTCCAGAAAGTACAACAACTTTCTTTCAAGAATAACTTTAAAAAAAAATACCAGTGTCAGAAACGGAACCAGGAATCTAACATATGCTACAAAAGCATCAGCTGCCCTGACTTGTTCATTATTTTCCCTTTAAATAAACACTGTTAGCTAGTCTCTGAAGTCAAATACAAAGACTGGTGGGACAAAAGTTACAAGGAAATTGCTTTTGATTAAAGCCTCATTTAATATTCTTGCGTTAGGTTTCTAAGTGAAAAAGGAAAAAATATATATAAAGTTTAAAATAAAACTCAGACGGCCGGGTACGGTGGCTCACGCCAGTAATCCCAGCATTTTGGGAGCCTGAGGTGAGTGGATCACCTGAGTTTGGGAGTTCCAGAGCAGCTGGACCAACATGGAGAAACCACGTCTTTATTAAAAATACAAAATTAGCCAGGTGTGGTGGTGCATGCCTGTAGTCCCAGCTACTCGGGAGGCTGAGACAGGAGAATTGCTTGAACCTGGGAGGTGGAGTCTGCGGTGAGCCAAGATCGCGCCATTGCACTCCAACCTGGGCAGCTAGTGTGAAACTCCGTTTCAAAATAAATAAAATAAAAAATAAATAAAACTAAGACTAGTATGAGGAGGATAATTTATGGTAAAGAATAAAATGAACATGTTATGTAAAACAGAACTCACTGAACTCATGCAGTCTAGTTGTTTTCAAAGCTTTTCATTCCTCCAGCCCCAGGCATGATCTTCCTTCTGTATCCTCCCTCTTAGAGACTGTAGTCACTACCTACTGATCCAAGGCAGAACTAGCAGCTCCTCCCTTCTGATGTGCAGTAATCACCAAGTTGTTTGGGGTTTACCTTTTAGGGTGCTCTCAAGTTTATATGTATTTTTATATGTAAAATATAATATGTTTTATTTATTATTTGCCATAAATCATTCTCCTCATACCCCTCTATATAAAATTTAATTTTTAAAATTATTTACCCCTTATAGAAAATTTAATTTTTCAAAGTTTCATCTTGTCCTAAAACAGTCATATTTTGCCTAATAGGAAATAGCACTCCTATGTAAAAGTGACATATAAACGCTTAGTGAAAAGTTGAATAATAATTATAATTTTCTGAAATTTCTTGAACATGTCCATCGTGCCAAGTGCTGTATTATTTACCTTACATATACTAACACATAAAAAATAAACTATGAGACATGGGCTTTTAGTTTAACAAGATAAAGGCCATGCAAAAGTGATTGTTTATTCTTATTTTAAATCAGACATTAGAAGTGAAATATAATTTCTTTTTATAGCCTCATCAATTAAATTAGAAAAGAATTAGAATAAAATCAAAGCCATCTTCTGTGTCCAAGATTTATCATTACTTTGGTGATACAATTCACATTTTATGCCACTATCCTTATTTTTCCCTAAAACATATTCAGGAAATGAAGTGATTTGAAAGTTTTGAATAACTCAAATGCTATTGAATTATATTTAAAATATTCCTATGGTAATTTGAAAAATGCTTCTTAATATTTTGAGTGATCATCTCATCAAGCTCCAGCATGAAACCAAGAAGACATGTCCTGCCTTAGAAGTGATACAAAACTGACAATGCTTCTCCAGGTCCCTAAAGAGGGAGATGGGATGTTATGGGGGGAATGGAGAAGTCTATGGATTATTAAAGGATTTATATGAAAATCCCTGAGCCTAATTTTCTTTACATCTTACATATGTTAACCCGAGGTAATTTTATGCATAGTCAGGGCCTTAAGTACCATCTGGAATTGAGGATTGCTAGAACTTTACTCAAAACCCAAATACTCCCAGGGATCATACTTTATATTACTGAATGGACATTTCCACTTTGAAATTCCATGGGCCCTTCAAAGTCAATCATAAGCTAAACTTTATCAGCTTTTCATTCCTCCAGTCCCAGGCATGGTCTTCCTTCTGTATTCTCCCTCTTAGAGACTGTAGTCACTACCTACTGATCCAAGGCAGAATCCACAGCTCTCCCTTCTGAGGTGCAATAATCACCAAGTTGTTTGGGGTTTACCTGTTAGGGTGCTCTCAAGTCCTTTCCCCTAGCTCCTGAGCTCCAGGCCTCATCCTCCTAGCAGGGAGCACTTCCACTGAGTCTCAGCCTCTGGACTCTTTTAAGCCACCCTCTATTTCACAACCCCTGTGACCTTTCTAAAACATGATGAGATCAGTTCACCAATTGCTGAAAAGCATCCTCTAGCCATTTCTCCACCCTTATCTCCCATCACTCACATCCATAAATGCACCTTGACTCCTTCTCTACCTAACTCATCATATTCCAAGTGTGCCAGGTGTTGCCGTAGTCTCACATCTCTAATGTTCCCGTGCCTTGTAGTATCCTTGTCCCCCAAACAGGTCTAGTTAACATTCTCTTATCCTCAAAGTATCAAATTGAAGGTACTGTCCAGGAAGGGCTTCTTGCCCCTTCCACTTCACAGCCCACCTCAGATTTAGATACCCCCAATCTGTGTATGTTCATAATATCCCAATAACTCCTCAATTATAGCATTTGTCACATTGAATTTTAATTATTGATTTACTTACTGACCTGCCTCCCAGACTTAACTTCCTTGAGCACAGGCACTATGTCTCATTCACTTTAGTATCCTCATTACTTAACAAAGGCACTTAACAGTCACTGGATTTATTTATTCATAAATGTCTAATTGAAATATCTTTCTTGTTTGTATTATATTTAATGCTACATGTACGATTGATTCTTAAGACAAACAGTATAGCAACTAAGGCCATATTCCTTCTCTTCCACTTACCACTCAGGAGTCCTAAAGAAAGTTACTTGATCCTTACATAAATCCTATAAAACAGATGTGATTATACATTATAGATTAGAAAACTGAGGTGCAGAGAAATGATGTGATTTGATGTCTATAAAGTGCTTGGAATAATTCTTGGCACATAATAAATGTTCAATAAATGCAAGTGTCTATTAGCTTCAATTCCTGTCAAATCTCAATGTAAAATTGTGGTTGTGTTGAAGCTTGAAATCACAGCCCTCTCTCGAAATATGAATGGCATAATAGCTTTGTGTCACTGGTGGGGTGTGATTGATAATATCCTGTTGGTTTTCTTCCTGGGTTTTCCTTGGAAATGCAAAAAAACGCACAGCATGTGAGAAGACTATGGCACTGATAATGAACCCAAGGAACTGTACTTTAAGAACACAAAGAAAATTATGATGTGCGGTGCATTGTATCATGCTGCATACATTTGTATAACTGATGTGTGAAAGAATCAGTGTCATTCAGTCCAACTGCTAAGACTGCAAAGAAAAAACATGACAGAAAATCAGTCTTTACCTATTACCCAGGATATAATGAGCATCTCCATCCATGAGAAGCAGGATGTTTTCATCCTGAACAGCTGTTTTGCATTATCTGTGCTGGTTTCATTAGGAAGGAGTTTTGTGCCTTCAAATCTGTCAGCTGCATTCATGACAAGCAGTCCCAGAAAAATGGTGAAGGAGGCTGCGTGTGCTACAAACTTCATGAATGGTCCACGCATTATCTTCCCCATCTGCCACAACACACACCAAAAGAAAATCTTAACTTTGTTTTGTACACTTTGCAAAACACACATACATACATGCAAGAATAAACATCTGCATATTCCAACCATCTCCTAATTGTTTATATTTATGCAATTCGTGATAGAGTAATATTTTTATGCTGTTATAAAATTTTGTTCACATTCCTCACCTACATGTGCTGATGTTCTTGATTAATAATGAAATACATGTGTTTTTCTAATAAACGATATTTAAATTCTTAAAATATATAATATTGTTGACAAAATATGGAGCATAATAATGTCAGCATTATTCATATAAAGCAACTAATTTAGTGGGCCTGAGGTATTGAGGAAGTGGCAATGAAAATATGAAACTGAGTCTACTTTGCAAGGTATAGAACCTTGGTGGGTGTCCTCACATATACTCCATTGACAGGCATGCAATTGAGGCCTGAGTGGATGTTGGTATTTTGGTGATCTTGTAAATGCAGTAAAAGTCATGAGTACCAAGAAGAGAACTCCCAACTGAGGACAGGGCAGCAGGGCGGTTCCTATAGTGTACTGGAACAATGTCCTGGAAGGACACTGGATTTAATGTCTAACATTTTAAGTTCAGGTTCCAGTTTCATTCCCTCATTAGCTGAGTGACAATGAGCACATTTCCTAAATTATGTGAAAACCAGATTCTTATATGAAATATGGGGACAATAAAAGCTAGTGTGCCTTTTATAGTGTAAGATTAATTTCTGTCTAAGATGTACAGATCTTCACTTAGGCAGAGTGAGGATCTAGGATATGACTAAGGGGTCTGGACATCCTCTGAAATGAACAAAACTCAAACTGTGTGTGCAGTTTCTCCCGCCCTTTAGGAGATGGTCCATAGCTTTCAACAGCTTTTCAAATGAGTTTATTACCACAGAAAACTTTACAAACTAGTAAAATGCAACCAACACTTAGTTGGCACTCTTTTAAGTGCTTTACACTGTTAACTTGTAATCATTACAACAATTCAAAAGGGTAGATGCCCTCAAATGCCCACTTTGGATGAAGAAACTGAGGAAGTGAGGTCAAGAAACTTGTTCAAGGTCACATATCTCCTAAGTGGTAGAGCTGGAACTTGGACCCAGGCATTCTTGTTCCTAACTTAATATTTCTATTTGGTTTACAGAATAATTTCATACTTTCTCATCAATGGGCCTACATATGTAAATTATTAGGAATTATCTTTTAAGACTCGGAAAAGATAAATGCTATCATGGAAGGAAAACAATTGGTGTTCTCTATTTCCATACCTTTATTTGTCTATATGGTTTTCAAAATAATAAAACTTAGAGCTGGAACCAATTAACTTATCTTGACATTCTGAATGTTAGGCCAGAAACAGGAGATGTTGTATTGTATCTCTTTCTCTCTCTCATGCTGTGTGTGTGTGTGTGTGTGTGTGTGTGTGTGTGTGTGTGTGTGCAGTTGTCCCTAGGTATCCATGAGGGATTGGTTCCAGGTCCTTCCATGGATACTAAACTCTGAGGCTACTCACGTTCCTGATATAAAATCATAATATTTACAAATAACCTAGGCATATCTTCTCATATACTTTAATACTGAGATTACTTATAATATATATTATCATGTAAATGCTATGTAAATTTTTGTTATAAGATACATTTTTTAATTGACATATATTTGTACATATTTATGGGGGGTATGCAGTGATGTGTCAATACATACAACATATAGTGATTAGATCAGGGTAATTAGCGTAGCCATCATCTCAAACATCTATCATTTCTTTGTGTTGAGAATATTCAATATCCTGTTCATAGAATAATGCCAAAAGAAGTCTCTACCTGTTCAGCACAGACACAATTGTTTTCAAATGTTTTCAATCTGTGGTTTGTTAAATCTACAGATGCAGAACCCACAGTTACAGAGGGCCAAAGAATAGACATAGACACATAGACATAGACACACACACACACACACACACACACACACACACACACAGACACAGAGTTTTAAGCCAATAGATTCTAGGATTGCAGAGCCAATCCAAAGTTACTTTGTAAAAATTTGCTGTAAAAAAATGCTTAGATACTATCACCTATGGAATTGATTTAAATTTTTTTGGTTTTTTTAAGATCCTTTTAAAATCTAACTCTCAAGTAATCAAATGATGGCAAAATTAAAACAAATGGTAGAAAAAGTAAGTTTGATTTTCTTCTATTGTCCTTTGCTATTTTTCTTTTTAAATATAAACAGTTAAAAATAAACATCAATGTTATATTTCCATGATGTGTTATACATAAAATTTTAATTCTATAATGTTTTATGTATGATTTGTTTTAACTGTGTATTAAAGTTATTGCAGGAATCCATATCTTTCTCATGGGAAAATCCATTATAAATCCTAAACTATTTCTTTTTAAATTCTCAATTTATTTGACTGTTTGGGGAAAACTGGGATTAGAGGCAATGACTGTTAGTGAAATTCATGAAAATGTTATTTATCACCTGCCTGGTTACAGGAAGAATGAGAAGCAGCTTTCAAGGACATCATACAGTAGAGCATAAGTTAAAATAGAACCAAATAAATAACATAAATAGAAAACATGAGGTTGAGGACATAAAATGGAGTTGAAATAAAGCTATCTACATTATTGATATCTGAAAACTCTGGAAGCTTAGTTTAACTGTCCTGAACACCTCTAAAGTCAATCTTCAGTTTTCAGAGCAAGGTGTCTGATCTGTGTGCCTGGCCCCTACCTGGCTTCCCTTCTTCCTCCACTGGCCTACTGACCTTTAGATAATATTACTCTTCCTTTATTTTATTCTAAAGGGAGTGTCAATCCAGGCATCTTCTTCTGCTTACTAAAAGTCTTAGGGTATTTTTAGGTTTGTTTGTTGGTGTTCTCTTGTTTTGTTTTAACAATCAAACAGAAAGCTGGTTGCCTAGAAACTAAAATGGGCATGTTTGAAACCTCATAGCCTTTATTTTTCTTACAAAAGTTGAGAATTATATTTCTCTTTAAACTGAGGGAGATTTTGGCATCTCTCACTAGACTTTAGGAATTGAAGGGAGTTACCCTTTTTAGTAAGATTTGCCATCTATATACTCTGGGATATAGACAAATTTCCAAAAAATAATTGTAAAAGAGGAGAGCTAGATGAAGAAATTGAACAACTGATGTACCTGGAAAATTACTGAGGGTAAGCATTGAAATAAATACTTGTCATTAAATATTATATGTCAGAGTCTTTTTAGGTGTTTATTGATGACTAAATACCTAGCTACTCAACACCACATAGAAATGAAAAAGGTTGAGACTAGCTTAAACTAAAATGATTTGTAATTGCAGTGTGACTATTCTTATTGTAATGAACAAAAACAAGTGATGTTTGGATTACAGTAGAAGAAAGAGGGGAAGTAAAAACAAAAGGGATTTCAGAAAGGGGAAAAAAGAACATCAACTTTTGTTTCCTATAGCAAAACCAACTTTAAACAGAAATGGGGACTCAGTCACAGTGCATAGGCCTGCAATTTGATCTTATTGATGTTCACGGATATATTGGAAAATCCAAAATTTTAAAAATATATTTGGAATAAAAGTACCAATTTAGCTGAAGCAATCTCCTCCCACAAAAAATTCCTGTGGCCTGTAAAGCGTATTTATGTTCATTATAAATAGAAAACTATAAAATAGATTTTATCATCGTGACTCAAAGGATAAAAACAGTAAAACAGGTATTGGATAGGAGAAAAAAATACCTTGACAATGTCCTTTTAATTTGATTATTTGCCTCAATGTTCATAAACGAGGATGGAAAACAGATGCCAGAAAGAAATATGGCCAGGGAAGAAGAAATAGTAAAGGAAATCAGTTTAATTAGAGTTCAATCAAAATTTAAGAAATATGTAACTCTAAGGACTGCCAAAAATAGTCTGTGTCAAAGCACCAGACACTCTAGAATACATTATGCTTTCAAACACACTGGTTATGGAAAAGGAAAATTATTCAGTTTAGGAAAGAGATTATAATTTAACTGGTCACAGAATGAGAACAGGGATAATTCAAAAACTCCCCCTATTTTAATTCAGTTTAAATCTCGGATGACTCAGGAAATATAAGGAGAAGAAGAACAAAGAGACGACCTACATAGATATAACTCATGTTCTAGGGAAATACATTTAGAAATGTATTTGTCTAAATTTAAGGGGTACCAGTGCAATTTTGTTACACGAATATACTGCATAGTGGTGAAGTCCTGGCTTTTAGTGTACCAGTCACTCAAATAATATGCACTGTACCCATTAAATAATGTGTCGCCACCTGTCCCTGTTCTGAGCCCCCACTTTTCTAAGTCTCTGATGTCTATCATTCCACACTCCATGTCCATGTACACACATTATTTTTCCAGGCAAAATCTGTCATTTCTAGTAAAAAGGGGAAAAATTTCAACTTTCTAAATGAAAATCTGTACTATAGATGTCATTTCTAGTAAATTGCACTATTTTCATTTTATGTTCTTCATTTATATTTTACGTATCTAAGATACCAAATTTTGGCCTTATATATTTTAAGGGGCAAATGTCTATGATGATGGCTTTTACTCTCATGAGAAAAACGTCCAGTTTCCTGTAGTTCCTTTCATCATCACTAGAAATAATTAGGATGTTTCCACTGTCTAAAAGGCTTTGCACAAGCTTTCTAGCATGAGTCATTTTGAACGGTCCTTATATGGCTAAAACACCAAAAATATGACAAAGTAATTAGAAAACAATATGTTAGTAATGGTGATGTTTGTGTTTGCGCCCACATATTACAGATGTTTGAAAATGAATCATGCCCATGTGTAAGCACTGGAAGTAACCCAACTGATAGTTCTTTCTACATAGCACATTAATAGATGGTCCAGCAGACATTTAGCCACTAAGCTTCAGAATTATTTCAATCTGCCTCTCAGAGTTCAACAGATCCAGAAATGTGGCTTCAAAAACATGAAGAATAGGCTTGTTAGCAATGCAGGACACAAATTTCTCCACTTGTTAACAGAATGATAAGTCAATATTTCTCAAACCTGTCCTGTCACGCTAATGAAAGGCTAGATCCATCTGAACATAGCATTTTTACCAAAGCATGGGTAGATAGCTTTTGCTAAGAAAATAGGCTATTTTTGCTCTCAGGCTCTGGTTTACTTAGTCCCATATATATATATATGGAATTCTTTACTGAAAGAATATATATAAATATATATATATATATTCTTTACTGAAAGAATATATAAAGAATATATATATATTCTTTACTGAAACAAGTATTACACTAGTATTTACATGACTGCCTTTGATTTAAGATTTATCTGGTCATATTAGCTAAAATACATACAAGACAAAACTTTCATCTCAATTTTTTCCAGAGGAGAAACAGAAAATGTTTTCATTTTTTAGGATATCATTTGAAATATATGCTCAATGGTACTATGACCTCATTAAGAAATATAAAAGTATATGCATGGATGTACATAGAGAAAAGAGTAAAAGGAAATAAACTAATATAGTTACTGAGTTTCCTTTCATACATTAACAGTGGTGATATTACAGGTGAATTTTATGTTTTCCATTTTTTTGTTTCCTATAGCAAACATGTATTATTTTATGATAATAAAAGCAAGAAAATTATTTAAGCCCCAACAGGAGTTATTTTGTAATATTAAAAACAATAAAGATTACTGAAACTCAAGTACAATTAAATTTTCACTTGAAAGGTAAGTTTTTACCCCACTTAAGACATTCTTCTAGTAGATAATAGAGGTGTAGGCTTCACATACATACCTTGCTGCATGGAGCAAACCAGTAAATGAGAGCCAGGAAGGGCAGTCCAATGGCAACAGCAAGGACCACAAGGAACTTGACCGCCATTGTCTGCTGTCGTAAACCAGAAAGATTCTCATACCAAATGGAGAGAAGTTGCTGTTGGCAGTTTGGATGAGCTACAAACTAGCAGGGAAGTGACAAAACATTTAAGTTTGATTAAAGAAAGGTTCAGCATAAATGATTTTCATGTGTTCTAATATTCCATGCTTTCCAATGAAATATATTGTTAGAATTAAAGAACAAACATAAAACATCAAATTAACAGGCAACAAGCAAATGGGAAAAGGTTCTAACATGTTTGACATAAATTTGAAGATTCCAATTTATCAAGCTTTACCTTTATAACAAACAAGCTTTCTTTCAAAGCACAGAAAAAATTTTAATGGAATATTATAAAAGGATTAATCTACTTTTTATGTATAGCTTTTATGATTATATAGTTTTTTCATCTAGAAAGAGATCACATTAACTCAGTTGCCTAAATACTTTTTTAAAAATATCACCTTTCCTGCATTGACCTACAATGTCACACAGTTAATACTAAATTCCCATTTGTATATGGGTCTGTTTCTGGACTGCCTATTTTATTCTATTGATCTCTCCTTTTATTCTTGTGCCAAAAACTCTTCAATTAAGAAGACTTAAATTTTCAATATTTATTTTTTGAGGGAATCTTTACATTCTCATGTATTTATTTTTACAACTGAAACATACATATGGCAGAGTTATTTAATATACAAAAAGCAATATCCCAAAATAAAAATTGGTAAAGTTATTAAAAAGTTATAATACGTAATATTGATATTAAAATATGACAAAGGGCAGGTTATATAAAAGAACTACAAGTGACTCTTAAGGGTGATTAACCTCAAAGATAGTTTGAGCGGTAGGTAGAAAATGGAGTTAAGTCTAAAACAAGATAGAATGTTTATCTACTCAGAATGGTAAAGTTGGATAAAACCCACTGTGGGTGGAAGAAATAAGCCCTGTCACACACTGTTGGTGTTTATGGAAACTGGTACATCATTTCTGAAGGGAAACCTAGCAAATGTTTGGAAACCTAAAAATAAAAATTGACATATTAATTCCACATCTAAGAATTTTTGTTTACAAGTCATGCAAGTAAGCAAGCTATATGAACAAAGGTACTGTATAAAAAATAAATAAAAATCTAATAACAAAAATCTGAAAATTATAATAAACATCCCTAAATAGTAAACAGATGTGAATATAATGAGATAATAATACAACCTTTAAAAAGATAAAGTGGACATTTATTGACTGTTATGTAAAGTTGTCCAAGAAAGAAATTTGTGTATAGAAACATAACAATGGTTCATTATTCTCCCTTCAGAACTGGAAAAATTGGGAGGAGACATGTTTATACTATTTGAAAACTTACCATAAGCATATGTTACTTTTATTAGAAAAACCTACCCTTAAAATCTTATCTATCTATCTGTCTGTCTGTCTATTTATTTTGAGGCAGAGTCTCACTCTATCACCCAGCCTGGAGTGCAGTAACATGATCTTGGCTCACTGCAACCTCTGCCTCCAGAGTTCAAGTGATCCTCCCACCTCAGCCTCCCTAGTAGCTGAGACTATAGGTGCACGCCACCACACCCAGCTAATTTTTGTAGTTTTAGTAGAGACGGGGTTTCACTACATTGCCTAGGCTGGTCTCCAACTCCTGACCTCAAGTGATCCACTCGCCTCTGCCTCCCAAAGTTCTGGGATTACAGGCATGAGCCATTGTGCCCAGCCAGCTTTTTAAAAGATACCTCACATAATCTAAGAAAGCAGAGAATGGGACCAATGCTTGAAGACAGAGCCTAAAAATATTTCACAAATAAAAATGCAGCTGGTGGAAAGTCTAATGCAGCAAAGAAGGAATTGAAGGCATTATTGGAAAACAGCAAGAAATGGGAAAATGGAATTGAGTCTCAAATAATGATGTTCCTGTCTTATAACAAATGTTTTAGAATTTGGATTCATAAAGTCATTGTTATATCATTAGCCCAGTCAAAGAAAGTGGCAGTCTCTGTAAGGTTCTACATAAATACGTCTAGATTTTAAAGACGACTGGCATTTAGTGTAGGTAAAGTGCCTCACAACTAGTATAGATGCTTATGATTTGTTAGAGAATCTGCCTAGTGCAACTGTTAGAAAATCCCGGCCAGGCACTGTGGCTCACGCCCGTAATCCCAGCACTTTGAGAGGCTGAGGTGGGCGGATCAGGAGGTCAGGAGTTGGAGACCAGCCTAGGCAACGTAGTGAAACCCCGTTTCTACTAAAAATACAAAAAAAATTAGCCGGGCACGATGGTGGGCGCCTGTAGTCCCAGCTACTCGGGAGGCTGAGGCAGGAGAATGGCGTGAACCCAGAAGGCGGAGCTTGAAGTGAGCCGAGATCGCACTACTGTACTCCAGCCTGGGCAACACAGCTAGACTCCGTCTCAAAAAAAAAAAAAGAAAGAAAAGAAAAAAGAAAAAAGTAAATCCCAGCTCAATCTAAAAATATTAACCCTTTATCCTTATTTAGCATTAACAAGAACCAAAATAATGTAAATAGGCTTCATGCCTGACCTTACTTTTTTTACTTCATATTTAATGGCAAGTTTTAAACGGCTGAGATTTGGGCGACCGTGATCACCACTCTGGAGCGTTTCAACATCCCCATTCAGAATGGCCTCGACTTCTTCAGTGTTTCTGCACAAATCAAGGAGTCCGACAACAAAGTCTTTGCACTGCATTGACAGTTTTTTGTAGTCATTCTAAGAAAGACAAAGCAAAACAAAACCAATAATGGAGAATAGCTCGTTTTACTATGCTTTAGAGACTTGAAGGATTTTACACTTCAGGGGGAAACCATTTCTACTTTTTTTTTTTTTTTTTTTTTTGAGACGGAGTCTCACTCTATCGCCCAGGCTGGAGTGCAGTGGCGCGATCTCGGCTCACTGCAAGCTCGCCCCGGGTTTACGCCCATTCTCCTGCCTCAGCCTCCCAGAGCAGCTGGGATACAGGCACCCGCCACCACATCCGGCTAATTTTTGTATTTTTAGTGGAGACGGGGTTTCACCGTGTTAGCCAGGATGGTCTCGATCTGCTGACCTCATGATCCGCCGCCCTTGGCCTCCCAAAAGTGCTAGGATTACAGGCGTGAGCATCGCACCTGAGAAACATTCCATTTTTGGTTTTACTGTTCATTTATCATATTTCAATTGCAGTTTCTGCTGACCTCTAAAACATTTTAGCACATGAAGATTTTCTCCATACCCTCAAAAGAGAAATTTATCTAAAGCATGAATCAAAGTTATTTAAAAAGGAGTATGCTGGCCAGGTGTGGTGGCTCCCGCCTGTAATCCCCTCACTTTGGGAGGCTGAAGTGGGCGGATCGCTTGAGCCCAGAAGTTGGAGACCAGCCTGAGCAACACAGCAAAACCCTGTCTCTAAGCATCAGGAGATATACCTAATGTAAATGATGAGTTCATTGGTGCAGCACACCAACATGGCACATGTATACATATATAACAAACCTGCACGTTGTGCACATGTATCCTAGAACTTAAAGTATAATTTTAAAAAAATACAGAAAAAATTAGCCATGAGTGGTGGTGTGTGCCTGTAGTCCCAGCTACTCAGGAGGCTGAGATGGGAGGATCACCCAGGCAGGTCGAGGCTGTAGTGATCCATGATTGTGCCACTGCCACTCCAGCCTGGGCAACAAAGCGAGACCCTGTCCCCCCAAAAAAAAAAAAAAAAAAAAAGTATGATGTACCAAACTCACCTGTTGATTCAGAAGAAATAAAAAATAACCAACTTTTTCCACAGCATGATCATAGGACCTTTGCATATATCATCTCCTTCATGGGCACAATATCATCAGTTAGGCATGCAATATACATTTAATAGGTCTTTGGAAGACCTTGTAAACTGTGTTAGTAAACTTGAGAAGCATAGAACATTTGGAAAGTTTCCAGAGAAGAGCAAGTACATGTCTATTTAACAGATTTTAATTGAAGAACTTTATATGGCAGGCACAGCCTCAAAAGATGAAATCTAGACACAGAGTCTGCAATTTGAGACTCATCTCTTTAGAGAAAAGAAAGTTTAATGAAACACTGTTGTAGTTTTGTAGTTTGCTGCTGATGAGCTCATACTCTATTGGGAAGACTTAAATTGTGCAGGTCACATTCAGATTACCATAAACTCATGTCATGCTTCTATATGGCATCATTTTACATCTTCATTCATGCCTTTCTAACATTTCCTCCCTCTATTTTCTTACACTAAGACCACCTATAACTAAATGTTAATCAAGAAAGCCTATTAGCAGGGGTGTTCAATCTTTTGGCTTCCCTGGGCTACATTGGAAGAAGAATTGTCTTGGGCCACACATAAAACACACTAACACTAATGATAGCTGATGAACTTAAAACATTTTCACAAAGAAATCTCACAATGTTTTTAGAAAATTTACAAATTTGTGTTGAGCTGCATTCAAAACCATCCTGGGCCTCATGTTCAACCCACATGTCCCTGGGGTGTGGGTTGGACAAGCTTGAGCTAGAGCTTATTGTATTGCAGGTGGATGGTATTATCTCATTTAATCTTTACAATTGCTTAGGTTGAATTGTGTGTCCAAAATCATGCAGCTAGTAAGCACCAAAATCAAGCTTTAACCCTAAATCTTCTTGGCCCCAAGCCTTTTGCTTTTGGGATAATGCCACTTTATCTCTCTTATTTGTAGAGTGCTTTTCTACTTTGATTTTTGAAACAACTGAGGGGGCAAGCAGAGCAAATACTGTTACCATTTTGCACATGAAAAAACTAAGGTTCTTACACAGCTTCAATGACAGACTTTTCTCTTAAACCCAGCGCTGCAGATTTAAAGTTAATTGTCTCCTCTTCCTGAAACCAGGGTGTTGTAGGATGAAAAGATTTCTTTGGAAAGATCCAGAGAAATATATGTGATTCTGGATGTCAGTCAATAAGGCCATATTTAGGGGGTGTCTGCATGGAGAACAGCTTAATACTAGGTATGTGTAAGGTACCTGCTTGGGCTTCTTTCTGTAAATCATGCCAAAAGTGAGTATCAGTGCAGTTTAGTAACTGCTAAACAGGCTACAATTCGCTAAAATGCAGGTCCAAAAAGATTCCAGAAAAGCAAATTAATAAAGCAAATTGTGTCTTACTTGAGAATGTCTAGCTGAAAATGGCTCAAACTACTTATAAACAGACATCTAGGCAGATAGTATACAGAGTGTTACAAGGAAATGGCTTTGCCCATTTTATAAAATAGTCTGTTAGGGCCATGGGGACAAACTCTTAGACACGGAGGTACATATTTGTCCGTGTCCACTATACTATAGTAGTTACGACTTGGTAGCTTAGAGCTGGATATATGTAATCAAATCCCAACACTTTTATTTATGAGCTATGTGACCTTTAATAAGTCAGAAGCAGTCTATCAGGTAGGGGTTCTTATTATTCTCATTTTACAGATAAGAACAGTGAGTTTTAGTGAGATTAAACAAGTATTAAAGAGATTATGCATGCCAAGGACTTAGCATGGTTGTGAGCATTTAGCAAGCATTTGATAAAGGGTAACTACTTTATTTTACATCATCAAAGAGAAGATCCGAAAACAGGCCATCACTTGACATTCAAAACATACCATGGAGCTAAGACAAAATTTAATGCACCTGGCTTCTCTGGAATGTAGAGTTCAAGTATAGTGAATTCTTAGTCCTTTTAAAAGCAACAAAGTAATTGTCAAAATCAGTGCTCTCTAGAATTCTAAGAAAGCTCAGATATATTTAGATATTGGAAAAGAACGTATGATCTTACAAATGTAGGTAACACTTTTTTAAAGCAGAAACCACATGGACTGAAAAAGTAAAGTGCAAGAGTTTTGTGGTATTTAATACCTTAATCTATAAATTTTTGTCCAATTCATCACTAATTCCTAAGACATTTTCTTAAGCAAAAATACCTATTGAAAAAGGAGAGAGAGAAAGAAAGAATAAGACTATGATTTCAGAAATATGCACTTTTTCTACTTGGGAAATCATTTATAAATATTTTCATATTTTAAGTTATTGACATTACTATTAATTCATATTTTAAGTAACTGACATGTAAGCTCACTCAAATACAACATTGGTGGTAGTTCATTGGCTAGAATGCAGCACTATGATGTTGGTTCCATGAGAGGAAAAGTGAAGCTGATGGGTTAACTTAATTCTGGGTCATGTCTTTGGATCACACACCTACACCGTACGTTCATTAATCAGATATGGGTGCTTGCCTATTAACCTTTGAAAAGTTGAAAAGAGATAACTCATAGTGGGCTAATGAAACACAGTTTAGAAACTACAAAAAAATACCCCTGTTAAAATGATCATTTCGAAAGTTCCTCTTAGCTGGATTTTAAATAATAAATGTTATGATGTGTGATTTTAATCTCTGGCTCTTCTTTCTATATAAAGAATGAAGTTTACTTCATAGAAATTAACAGGGTAGAGTAAAATGTGTGCCTTGATTCTCAGTAATCTACTATGTGGGCTTTGGAGATGGCAGACCTGGGTTTGAAACTTACTAGCTATGTGACTTTAGATAAATGATTTAATCTCTTAAAGCTTCTAACCCTCATGTTTAAAAAGGGAATAATATTAGTACCCATGAATTAGGGTTGCTGTGAAGATTTTACAAGACAATGAATGCCAACTTCCTGGCACAGGGTAGTGCAGATCAGTGGTAATTATAATTATTACTGTCTTCATTATTTCACAAACAGTATCTAACTCTCTTGCAGTCCCCATCACAAAGCTATGCTATCAAATATCAAGTCATGTTGGAATTCCTGGATATCATCTGCAAACGTTGGAAATAAAACAATTATTCATGTATTTTCACAACATAGTTTATGCACAGCACTGTGATAGACACCACTCTCTTACTAAGATGGGAGTTTGTAAAATGAGATTATATATGTGAAGAGTAAGCATATTAGTCTCCTCCTCTTTCTCAGTCAGCAACAGAGGCACTGACACTCAAGAACTACCTGAGACTGGGTGATTTATAAAAAAGAGAGCTCTAATTGGCTTATGGTTCTATGGGCTATACAGGCTTCTGCTTCTGGAAAGGCCTCAGGAAACTTACAATCATGGCAGAAGGCAAAGGGGAAGCAAGCACCTTCTCCACGTGGCAGCAGGAGAGAGACAGAGTGAAGGGGGAAGTGCCACACACTTCACACACATCAAATTTCATGAGAACTCACTAGCATGAGAATAGCATGAGGAAAATCCATCCCCATGACGCAGTCATCTCCCACCAGGCCCTTCCTCCAATTAGACATGAGATTTGGGCAGGGACACAAATCCAAACCATATCAGTAAGATGAGTGTATAATACTATGATATATACAGTGTTGCGCTGGCCAGCCATGCTTCTTGGGACCAAGTGTAACTCTGGGGCTGGCTTGCTCCTCAGGATAAATGTCACCAGATGGCACACTGATCATGGAGCTCTGTGGTGATGATTAACAAGCATTTATAAAGCATCTACTATGTGGGATTCTGAGGATATAAAAGTTAATCAGGCACTATTCTATAGAAAAGGTAAAGAAATGGAATACAATTTCAAAACAAGAATTGAAGAAAAACATTTTCCTAGATATGTCAGGTTTTTTCTATTGATTGTTGCCATCAGCAGTGGCTGCTTAGTTAATACAGTGTTTCGTTATATACACTTAGCATAATGTCTGATTAGC